CCCCCCCCCCGGTTACAATTCCATATCTTCTTCATTCCATATCCTGTCATCTATAATATTGATTATGTTTAATGTGTCTTATAAAAACCAAAATAAAATCTACTGCCCACAAGAAGCTGTCTTATCTCTACAATTAATTCCAAAGTCTTATTGTAAAAGTCTTCATCCTGTATCCCACTTTTATCTATAATTTCTTACCTTTGTTATGCCTTCCAAAAACCAAACTTAAGCACATCACTGCATAAGTTAAGTGAATTGTGCAGTGTAATGGATTGTTGTAATGACCTTGGTTGAAATGAGGGAAGAGATGCTGCCTAGGAAATGATCAGACAAGGGAGACAGATGCCCCCAGTGGCTTACGGTCAATGAAAGAATCTTAGAAAGGACTCACCCTCAAGAATCAAGTAGAAAAAGTGGTAGCAGGAAGTTTGAACTTTCAAGCATATATACATATTAAAAAGAAATGTCTTCTTAGAACATAGAACATATAGAACATAGAATGACAGAGTTGGAAGAGACCTTGCATGTCTCCTAGTCCAACCCTCTGCTCAAGAAGAGACCTTCTATCATTTCAAACAAATGAGTGTCCAGGCTCTTCTTAAAAGCCCCCAGTAATGGGGCACCTACAACTTCTGAAGGCAAGCTATTCCAATGGTTGATTGTTCTCACTGTTAGGAAATTTCTCCTTAGTTCTAGGTTGCTTCTCTCTTTGATTAGATTCTTGCTAAATGTAGTGTATGTGACAGTTTAACAAATGGTTCTGACAAATTGGAATGAACTGGGCAACAACCTTACTTCTAGTGGAAAAAGAATAACAGATATGCAAAGCATTCTGTTTTGTATAAGAAGTAGACTTAGTGGCACCAATAGTCAAGAGAGTTTTTGCAATTACCTGTTTTCTTGGACCAGGGGGTTCTTCTTGGGGTCACCTAGGCCTTTGTTACCTTCTGTTTGGATCATGGTCACATGTTCAGCATGACTGCCCTTGAAGACCTCTTCAAGTAAATGATTATGGGTATACTTCAGTTTGCCCATGTGATATCTCTACTTCATAGACTGTACTGGTTACCAGTTGGCTTTCAGGTGCAATTCAAGGTGCTGGTGGTCACCCTCTTGTGAGATCCTGAAGACTTGCCATTTCTGTGTCTATTCCTGCTTTGAGGAACAGCAACACAGAGAAATTTGTATGTCCCTAACCTTGCTAGCCATCAGAAGAACTCTAAAGACCTGGGTTTCCCAAGGAAGGGTAATTTGTTACCCCTTTCATCTTGATTAATATTTTTTATGGTTTTCTTCCTCTCTGTTCTGCTGTGGCATATGTCATGGTATTTCTGTTTTTAATCTTTGTTCATGATATGATGCCTACAGTTGCTTTGGTAATTGAAGCAATTTAAGGTTAAATAAATAAATATATTTTTACAGAATCTCCTTGGTTGGAATTCAGCCTTAAATAAAATCTGCAATTTGATGGCCATTACCATTATACTTGATCACTTCTGCAATAAGCGATAGGCAGTGATGTGCAGTATTATATAATACACTTACATATTCCCATATTATTTCCTTTTCTCAGTTTCAGCCTCAAATATCCTTTTTGGGCCAAAACAGATAACAGGATTGGTTGACGGTTCCGTGAGTATCAAATGCTTCTATCCTCCCACTAGTGTGAATATTCATTCCAGGAAGTACTGGTGCAAGGAATCAACAAGACGTTGTTATACCATTATTTCATCTAATGGTTTTGTTCTCAAAGATTACAAAGACAGAGCCTCCATAACTGACTTTCCAGAAAATGGCATGTTCATCATAGAAATATCAGACCTGAAGTACAAAGACATGGGTCTATACAGATGTGGCGTAGGTTTAAATAACTTTGACTATGAACGTGGATTGTCCTTTAATGTCAAGCTAGAGATTACTCAAGGTACTGTTTTCTAATCCTCTAGATTTTCTTTAGGTAATGTATGAAGATTGCTAAATGTGGGCCTTCCCTAGGAGAAATATATTAGGCTTATTTATCCCATTTCTAAGAGAAATATATCAGATTTGTATAAATGAAAGGAACTTTTCTATGGTCTCATCCCAACTTTATTTTCCAAAGCATTTTAAATAATTGTATTTTTTATCTAGTTCACTGTTGTATTGTTCAGTTTCATTGCATTGTTATTTAATGTTTCACGTTACTTTGAGTTATACTATAGATTGAAATGTATATATATTAACCTTTTTAAAATAAATGCACATCTTACAATTTCTTAAAATAAATACACTTTGTGAATATAATTATCTGTATGTAAATTTTTCCCCCTTTAATAAAAATGTACATATTTACAGTTTAATTCTAAGAAGACATTCTCTGAAAGAGCTGCAGGACAAAATTGGTGAATGGGGAAAGAAAGAATTACAGTTCAGTATAATGCTGGCTCAGGAATTCTGGGAGTTGAAGTCTACGAGTCCTAAAAGAGCCAAGGTTGACTACCCCTGGTATAAACTATAGTGGGTAGAGAGTACAAATGCCTTCAGGTTTACAGTTGCTTGCTGCATTTTGTTATGCCAAAAAAAAAAGACATTGAAATTTGAAAAGTTTTTCAGTGATCTGTTTCCATACCACAATTGGGCATTGGGTGGGGGGGAAACCACAAAATATTAATATAGTCTGAGATACAATGTTAATATATAGTTGCAGATGAAAAATAATTTGTTTATTCCTCCAAGAGTGTATTTTATTTATTACTGTGCTGTAAGATAGCATAATGACATTATAGGACATGGGATCTGACATCAGCACAGAGTGCCAAACCAGGATCAAGAATTGCACACATATATCTGTTCCTTCATATGCATATTTACATGCATGCCATACCATATCCATATAAACCAGGGGTCTTCAAATTTGGCCCTTTTATGACTCATGGACTTCAACTCCCAGAATTCCTCGGCCAGGCACACTGGCTGGGGAATTCTGGGAGTTGAAGTCCATGAGTCATAAAAGGGCTGAGTTTGAAGACCCCTGATATAAACATTATACTAATGAAAACATCATTCTTTCTCTCCCACCCCTAACAATTAGTCATAGTGTGCTTCCATTTCTAGCAACGAGAACTCATGTTTGTTTTGTTTCCTGTTATTAATTACAGCAGGAAGACAAGAGTCCATGCTGGTCAGCTGGCCAGAGAGAAAAGTGGGCAAACTCTTTGCTTTTGGAACAGCACAAGATCCAAAAGCAGATCCCTCATGCTAAGAAAATGAACTCAACTTGTAGGGTGCCAAGCTAGGCACAGTTTATCAGAGTCACCAGAATTTTGACCAATTTATGGTTGATGGTTGATACCACTTATTTGTTAGAGGAGAAGTTGTAGCTAAAATGCTAATATAAAATAAATAACTAGTAGTCAAAATGCTAATCTAAGCCATTGTGTAATACTGTAAGACAACTTGAGACAGCATAAGGGAAGGCAGAATAAATGCATCTAATAACTTGTTGTTACTTTGCTGCAGATCCTGTACTACCTGAGGAAGCTCAACTTTATTATGCTGAGCAGCAAAAAACAGTGATCATGACCTGCGACTTTGGTGTTCAGTATGCAAGTTACAGGAAGTATCTGTGCAAGATGGCAAAGACCAACTGTTACAATGTGATTGATACATATGGAAATGGGGGACCATCCTACTTAGGAAGAGTTCTGCTGACCAATCTTGCTACACCTGGATCTTTCAGTGTCATTATGAGTCAGTTAAAGAAAGAAGATTCAGGTTTATATCTTTGTGGAGTAGGGAATTATGGAACAGAAGGAGAATCCAAACAACTAGATCTACATGTCTATGAAAGTAAGTGAAAGAGCTCTTGGATTCCAATTCCATCTCTACAAATACATAACTAATCAAGAAAACAATTATAATAACTTGTTATAATGTTATGTACTATATTTCTATCTGTAGGTGGATTGGCACCTAATCAACAGTCAGTGGTAAATGGAGTCCAGGGTGGTTCTGTGACTGTTGTATGTCATTATGATCCAAAAGAGAATGATACATTGAAATATTGGTGCAAGTGGAAAAAACATGGATGTACTGAATTAATAAGCAGTTATGGATATATTCAGGATTCCTATGAGGGGAGAATTGTGATGCATGACGATCCAGAAAATGGCACATTCACTATCATACTGAACCAACTGCAGACGGATGACATAGGTTACTACTGGTGTATGACTGATGGAAAAATGGAAAGGAAGTCCTCAGTAGAGGTGAAGATTGTAGAAGGTACTGCCTGGTGTAATTATCTTAGGAATGTCCTTTGCCTTATTTGATGCATCCTGCAAAAAATGAACCTAAGCCATCTCAAGCATTCTCTTGGTTTTAAATAAGGTATATTTACAGAGAAATGCTATTCCACATGATTAATATTCAGTATATAAGTCCACCTGCTCCGGCAGCTAATTAAAAAAAACCAGCAAATTAAAACTTATTGCACCAAAAACAGTTTACACGTTCGGACAATAAAAATGGGCTCATGTACGTGTAGGGGAAGAGCCATGTTCTTAAAGCCTTTTGAAAGGCAGGCTGGCTTGGGCCATCTGAATCTTTGGGGAGACCCAGGTGGAATGTCAGAATAGATATGACAGAACAAACTAGCAGAAATAATATGGTGCTGCTATCCAAACAAAAAATTCTATTAACTGCTCTTTGATTTGAAAGCATCATTCCCCACTGTTCATGGTTTTGATTCATTTCAAACTCAGCATTTCAAGATTTTTATAATAAATTAAAAATAAAAATAAATTTATTAAATTAAATAATTCTATATAAATACAATTCATATATAATATTTATATCTAGTTTGCGGTACCTTTAAATTCTGATTTATTTTGGTAGGAGAGGTAGATAGAAACAGAAATTTAATTTTGCTGTTGAAATACCAGGTACTGAAAGACAGCAGTCCTTAAATCTGTATCGCCATTTGTCCACTGGGTACCTTTCAGGTGGGTTGGGAATATAATTTTTGGAATCACAGATGTCTATAAATATGTCTCTTAAGTTACTATGTTAGTTTGAAGAAGAGTAGACAAAGTCTTGCCCAGCATACCTCAGTGTCAGCACAATAATTTTCAACTCTAAATTTCTACATGTTTGATCAGGATTCATCCATAATCCAAATATTTTCCCATTTATTTTTATTTTTTAAAAAATCAAGAAAAAAGTATAAGAAGAGCACCCCTGCTTCCCCCCTCCCCCAGAAAGCGACCTCCCACCCTCATGGCAAGAATAAATAATTCCACAATCTCTTCACTTCCATTTAGCTAACAAATGTAAAACTTTTCATCTCATAACCCTTATATTAACAATAAGCAAATCAAATAAGTAATGCTAGTCTTCAATTCAATTACCAGCACAAGATCCAAATAAAGTTCTAAGATTTTAACATAATTAACATATATAATACTTCACAATACTCAGCTCAATTCTTAAGTATAACAAAATCCTATTTAAAAGGCATAAAGTGTCTGAATATCCTAAAAAAATACTCCAATTTAACATGACAAAGAAAGATTTCTCCAAAATGCAAGCTCTAATATACAATTTTCCAAATACCAGCTTATTCTGTTCAAATATATATTTCATGGGTCTACTCTAACCCACATCCACATTTCAGCATTTGAGAAATGTGCAGCTTTTTCTTTGACTTCATATTATCTTTTGTTGTTCTTTCCCAAAATCTTAATAAAATTATTACAAAAAGGTCTACATAAAAGAAAAAGGAAAAAGACTTTTACTTCATGTCAAATGTAAGCAAATCCACATTTTCTAATTAAGGTATCAGTAAATCCAAAAAGAACCACCCAAAGTAACAACATATTCCATTTTATCCCTGATAAAATTAACTGACTTAATGGACCTTCTTCCTTCTATAATGCACAATCTTTCTAATCCATTTAGAATGATGATTGTTTATTCTTGTTACATATTTCTTTACCACTTTAAACAGGGTCATTTGTAAATCCAGCAAAGGGAAATTATTCCAGTCTTCTGGGATTATTATTTTTATTTCTTTTTTTTATTATTTTTAAAACCTCGTTCTGTTTTCTCTTTATATCTGGTGACAAATTTTTGATCAGAATATCATTCCTATTTTCCTCAAGTAAATTGTTGCATATCTTGTTCTGTAACATCTTCCCTTGGGAACAAACTTTTTCAAGAAGACAATTAACTGGCTAACTAGAGATTTAAATCAAGATTTCACAACACTTTACTATATCAAAATGCAACGTGCTAAACCTATCATGTATGTGGTTGTCTACATTACTAGCTAAGGTTGTCCTATGAAAGATTCATGGGAACTAGCTCTGTTAAATTAGTTGCCTAATTCAGGCATGACAGTTACCCATTTGATTGTGTCCCAAGGAAAGATTTCTGCTTGCATTATAGCTGGGTAGATCTAATAGGGAAGAAAGCTGTATTACTATATAGACCACATAGTCCAGTGTTTCTCAACCTTGACAATTTTAAGGCATGTGGACTTCAACTCCCAGAATTCCACAGCCAGCATTGCTGGCTGTGGAATTCTGGGAGTTGAAGTCCACATGCCTTAAAATTGTCAAGGTTGAGAAACACTGACATAGTCAATCATTTTAGTGATGCTAAAAATCAAGCAGTCTGTTTTCAAAGTGTGTGGGGAGAGTTATTATCCTTATTTTTTCTTTTGACACAGGGCAACCTACATTACTAACAAAGAAAGAAGTCCAAACTATTGCTGGCTCCCCTCTAAGCATATCATGTTCTTATCCATGCAAATATTCTACATACGAGAAATATTGGTGCAAATGGAATAACACTGAATGTAAACCTCTCATCTCATCTGAACAAAACCAGACCGGCTTGGTAGTTAGTTGTGACAAAGATAGTGGAATTTTATCTTTGAATTTTGACCAGGTGACACCCATAGACCAAGGATGGTATTGGTGTGGTGTCAAACGTGGGCAGCAATATGGAGAAACAATTGCCTTGCATCTGCAAGTACAAGGAGGTGAGTCTAATCAGTAGGGAACCAAATTGGATTATACACATTCCAGTTTTCACTATACTTAGTCAAAGTCATGTCTTGGAAGTCATTTCTTGGCCACCAACATAGAACTCTTCCTTCTTTCAGGATTATTTTCTCAGTTTCCCAATCTAGCTGTAGCACTGGTATTTCCTAGTGGTGTCCATCTAAGTATTAACCAAGGCCAAATCTGGTTAATTTTTTAAGATTGGCCAAAGTTGTCTGGTGCTGCCACCTAGCTGGGCAGGTTTAAATAGATTATCTGCTAAACCTTAGTCATATTATGATGCTACAATCCCTGTTGATTCCCCAGGCAATTACTGAATTAGCTAAAGTATTACAGAAAAGCTTAGTACAAGGTATAATTACGATTAGTCTCTGAGCTTCACTTTCTGTGTGGATATAAGAAAAATACTAGATATTTCAAGTATAGTTAAATTTTTGCATCAAAAAAATCCTTATTTTTCTTACACTGAAATAAAGGGAGTTATTATAGAAAATGATTTATCAAGAGCTAGATGTGTTAAATCAGCAAAAGCCATTAGATCAGTGCATTGGATCTCTCAGGTAGTAGAACAAGGGTTTGATCTAGTTCATGTCCATCAGCCTCTTACCTCTGCCTGCACTGTTATTAGCAATGGATCTCCCAGTCAGTTGCCCAGAATGGCTACATGAGGGACTAGTCTGAGGAATTCTCATGAATTGAGCCAGCTTTCTTTTCATGAATTGCTCAGAGGAGGGCCCAGAGAGAGATAGGTTGTATGTTTCCAGGAAAAAGCTTCTGGAAACTTTCTCAGAATGAGGTATCAGCCTGGAAAAAAAGTGACATCAGGCAACAGGCAGAGGAGTGATACACTGCTGCAAAAAGTCTTATAGTACACATCATTTAATGTAAGATTCCTCAGTTTGCCATCCATTCAGATGCATATAATGAAGTGGTCTCTCATCCATAAAAATGTATACCATATATTCCCTTTAGGCTTTAAGCAGACACAATAATTTATTACTATTTTAATCATATGAAATCAACTTAATGTGTAACATACTATGTTTAGGCTCTTCTTACAAAAAGTTTTGGTTCCTGAACATTCACTGCAAATTACTTTCCATATTGCAGGACAAGACAGTTTTCCTTATGGGGCCTTTAGTAAAGTTATAATTGTCTTCATTCATTAGCTGACTTATGTAGAAGAATATAACTTAAGTATGAGCTCACCAATTTTTTTGATGATTTTTTTCTTGCCTTTTATATTCTTATTTGCTTCTGGGTTACCAACTCCCCAAATACTCCTAAATAGTACTTCTAAACTTTGAAGAAGCACCCAAAATCAATGAAGATCTCAATGGGATTGCCGTTCCTGGAGTAAATCCTGTTAATAGGAATTCTCCTTTAGACAAAGCCAATCAGGCAGCTGAAAGTGAAACTTCATCAGGCAGGTAAGTACTTTGAAAATAATTAATAATGATTTATAAATGCATGCATATAGAGAAGCAAAAGTATTCAAGGGGAGGGCCATACTCATAATTGTTGGCTTAAATAATATTAATCAATAGCAAAATTAATTTGCAATCCTGGAGAGGCAAAGAAGATGTAAGGAGTGGCAGGTTGGTGTGCTTTAAATACTGGGTTATTGCAATTGCACAAAAACACAGTTCAGGAATTCATCTCATTTCTAGAAGAGAAACATACCAGTAAGTAGTTTCAGGCAATCTCAGTCTTAATCAGATATTTAAAGACGATCCAAGTTTGAATCATGCTGGTTATACACTACGTTGCTCAACAGGACATTCTCCAGGCAGGTGGCCATATACATCCAGAATTCTCTAGTTTACTTGATTAGTACTGAGAATAATGAAAAATAATGATAAAATCAATCAGAAATTAAAGTAAAAGAAATTAAAAGCTAATGTTTCCCATCTCTTTCTGATAATCAAGGTGGAATATTAAAATAAGAGAGCCTTGGTGGAATGAAGTTTATTCCCTAAGCATTAAGTTTTGGAACTACTTCATTGTCTTTCTAAAAAATATTATTAAGACTGTACTAATACTGTATATTGGCTATGCCAATTCTGCTTCTTTTCCAGCCAAACTGAAAATAAGAACTCTGTTATTCTTCTTGCCACTTTGATCCCCTTTGGAATTGTGTTTCTGCTTCTCATCACAGTCTTTACCATAAAGAAGTTCAGATTATTTGGGAATTCTGGTGAGTGTATACTAAATATAACCTCCTTGGAAACCATTTCAATTTTTCATATTGATTGCATTAGCATATTTTCAGTGGTGGGATTCAGCCAGTTCGCACCACTTCAACAGAACCAGTAGCTAATTTTTTGTTGGCCAGGCCCAGAATGACTTCTGGAAGCGACATCCACACAGAGAACTGGTTGTTCACATATTTGAATCCCACCACTGCATATTTTTGAGCATCAAATAGAACAAAGAATGTTTTTACACATAGAAATAAAATTACAAGATAAAAATTAAAAATTTTAGAGTCTGAATTATAAATGTACTATAACTGAATAATTTTAAAAATTCTTTCATTCCAGAAATTGTGAGTGGGTAGGAAGAGAGAGCAGAAAGAATGAAGTACCTGTTTTGCAGAAACATTTACACTTTTGACTAGTCAAAACTCAGTCAAAAGACTGTTTCAACGCCGATAGGTTTAAAATTCCTGAACCCATCAGTGATAATATTGAGAAAAGTTTGTGGCAAAACACTGCTCTCATCCAAAACATTGCTTGGTTATTTTGTCAAGGGAGATGAGATGATTCTATTTGTTTTGTTTTTTTCCATCTCTCTCTCTCTCTCTCTCTCTCTCTCTCTCTCTCTCTCTCTCTCTCTCTC